TTTAGATCGGATAAAAGTGAGAGAGAGCTCACTGACCTGGAAGAGCACTTCACAATTACACAAAGTCAGGGAGAAGCGGTCGCGGTAATCGCACGAGGGAATCCATCCGATCGAGAACCACCAAGATACCGAGAGGAGCTTGGCGTAAAGCAACGAGTGAGCAGCGTAGTCGAGGGAGCGACTCACAAACTGAGACCAACGAGATTACGGTGCAAATCTGCCGCATCACAGATGAACCATATGTCTTGAGCGATGGACCTAGAGAGATCTTGTCTACCTCGGGAGCAACGCCGAATTGGGTAGATCGTAAGCTCAGCGGTATCCTCTCTCGTGTACCTGACCGTGAGAAAGATAATCCGACTGTAGACTATGCCGAGAAACGGCCCAGTGACCCAAAGCAACTCATCCGTCCTTACTTGAAAGAAGTAAGTGACGAGGGTTGGATCGATATCGGTCCGGGCTTTGAAGGGAGACTAGCAGCTGGTGAAGATATCCGTCAAAGAGACACCGAAGATCAGGATTTCCAGTTCCAAGTAAGGTGGAACATCGAGATGCCTGAAAAAGATGAAGACGTGAGATATCCTTGGTCGAGCCAAGCGCTAATCGACGACTTGAAAACGGACGAGCGTGAAGAGTGGAATCGACAAATCCAAGAATATCAAGACCGAGGATGGTGGCATAAAGAAGATCGGAAGCCTACTCGAGAGGAGCGACTCCTAGCCGCTACCGTCTTCCCAGTGCGGCAATGCGAAGCCAAGACCACCAAAATCCGACCATGTGTCGATCTCCGTAAACCAAATGAGAGAGCACCGACCTTGAGATCGGCTGGTATCCGAGCAGTGGGTCCCGCTTCGGTCCCAGAGGCAGTGGCTCGTCTTCGGGCGGCACTGAAACCGAGAAGCAGGAGAGACCTACTAGTGAAGCAATACGATCTAGCTAAAGCATTCTACTCGATTCGTGTCCTACCTTGTGACGTAGACGGGGAGGAACGGAGGGTATGGATTCGCCATGGGGACCACGAATGGTTCAGCAGCGATGCTCTCGTCTTCGGACTAAGCTGTGGACCCTTGGGGCTCAATTACAGCCAACTGGTCGTACTTAGGATCTTGGAACGCCTCGAGGCCAAGCAGAGAGGAGACAAGGTTACGTGGATATGTGTTATGGATGATTTCCTCGCCATTGGCGAGCGGGAAAGCATCCTGAAAGAAGAGAAGATGATCGAAACCTTATGGGGACTAACTGGCTTTACCTGTCCTAGCACCAAACGTAGCACTTGGTCGACGACGGCTCCGACAAGGTGGTTAGGCTGCCACTGGTGCTATGATGGCAAGGAGACTCTGAAAATGGTACGTCCCCGTCCTGATGCGATATTGCCGGAGACCCTTACCAAACGTGCCGTTTATAGAGCGGCAGGTCAATTCTTGCATATCACCCGTGGATTCCAAGAAGCTCTCGCGACGGGTCACGCCGATGCCATGAGAAGACTGGCAGGGAAGTGGGATACCTGGGATGAGGCTCATGCTTTGTCACAAGGCTCGAGAGAGATACGGGATCACCATGCATTGGCTCTAAGGAGCTGGGAACGCTGCTCCGAAGAGGATAGCGCTCTCACTCTTTTCGCCGAAGTCGAACATGTTATTGTCGAGGTCGACGCTTCACAGACGGGTCATGGCTACTACGCGAGAGATGCAGACTCGGAACCTGAACGCCGATCAACCATCATAGCAGAAGCACGTGCGTTTACTGTCAATCACGCAGCCTGGCACGTTAACCGTAAGGAGCTGACGGCTATCGCACATGCGGTGCGAAGAATCGACGACTGTTTGGACAACCTACCTAAACTCAAGAGAGTAACAGTAAGGTCGGACTCAAGAGTGGTGACCTTACAGTGCAACCCATGGGTGAATATCGGCACCAAGAGCATTGAAAGGAAGGCTCTACAACGACTGCGGGAAGCTGTGACAGACATCGCCTTCGACTGGAAGACCCGTGGTATCACCATGAAAGTCGAACATATCGCGGGTAAGACCAATCGCCTTGCTGATCAACTTTCCAGGATACCGACCACTACGAAGCCTGAAGACATCGCAACAGTGATGACGATACTGAACGACGAGATTACGGACGAGACCGACCCTACCAACTGTGTGACTCCAAGCTTCAGAAACTTCATCGCTAAATGGGAAGCCTTCACGAGTTGGAGACGCGTTAATGACAATGACTACAGCGACGACTTGTATACTCGATGGGTGACCTATGAACAACAGAGGGATACAGAGACAAGGCAAGCATGTGAAGCTCTGAAGGTGAACCCTCTGGCTGGAGAAGACTCGTCGGGTTACCTTTATAGGATGCGCCTTCGAGAAGATGGTCTGCTCATCCGAGAAATACGGCGGGGCTCTATAACTGATGACGTAAGTAAAGCAAACACTACTGAGCAGTTGGTATTACCTCGAAGGCTTGTCAAGGAGGTCGCTACAGTCCTGCACCACTCTCTCGGGCACGCAGGATACCCGACAGTATTCCGTCATACCGTAGCAGCTTGTTGGTGTCCATCTATAAGAAAAGTGGTAAAGGAGGCAGTTGTGACCTGTTCGGCGTGCTTACATACTGTCAAGAGAAGTAGCAATGTCCTAGGGTCCACAACGAAAGGGGGGCTATGTCCCGTCCCCAACTACCCTTTTGAGATCGTAGGGGTGGACCTTTATGGGCCACTTCGTCGACCTGCAAAAGAGAGTCAAGTACCGACAGAGACAGACAAGTATGTCCTTACCATTATAGATCGTCTAACGGGTTTCGTGAAGTTCAAGCTGCTTGATGATGCCAGGGGAGTCACGACAGCGAATGCTGTAGAAGAGTATCTAATATGGGAAGTCAGAGCCAAGGTACGCGAGATCTGGAGCGATCACGGCGTGCAGTTCACAAAAGCGCCGAGCTTTCATGCAGTTTGCCTACTTGCTGGGATGAAGCACCGGGTTATCCCTACTAGATCACCATGGGTTGGTGGTTGGTACGAAAGGGTACATGGAACCCTTGGCAAAAGCTTGAGAGCTGCACTCCACAGATGCCCGACAGCGAAGTGGGATGACCTAATCAGAATAGCAGAGTCAGCAGTTAACACGAACACTAGCAATGGAGCTAGACCGAGTCCTCATATGTTAATTTATGGTTGGGAGCCATCACTCCCAGGATTGAAAATCATAAGAGCTTACCAGCAGGAAGATGTATGGAATGACAGCAGACCGAGAGCCATACCAGACGACCCGATACACTCCCAACAAGCAGTAGCCGAGGCCAATAAGAGAGCCACCCGAAGGAAGGGGTTGCTGAAGATATTTGAAGAAGAATGGTTGGAGCGACGCCAGAAGAGCCTGATACAAACAGATAAAATGAGGCACAAAGGGAAGACGAAGCTTCTTACACTGAAGAAGGGTGATCGAGTTGTCTGGATAAGAAGTCGAACCAAGAAACTGGGCTCGAATACGATGAATGATGAAATTTATGAGGTCGAAGAACCCATAGGAGAACAATGCTATAGAATTAAGCCATCATCGGGAGCCATAAGGAAGGCCACAGGGCTCTCCACAACCAATATGCGGGCTCACTAGCACCACGGCCAGACCTTTCCCCATTCACACTACCCAAATTTCCCAACGGCGGCCTACGGCCGCCTACTACTCTCAGGATCCCAGTCAAGGGCTATACGACAATCAATTGCTTGTGGATTGTGCTACTGGAGTCAAAAGTGAGCACAGAGTGACCCCGTTTTACAAATCGGACTCAAACATACGCAGGAATTGTTTGTACACTTGACCACTGACGTTATATCGGTGTGCTCTATCTCTAAAAGCATCACTAATGCAAGATAGATCAAATGCGCAAGTGTTACACAGGCATGGGGATGCTACCCCTGCCGCGCTCAAGTTTCCTGCACTTTGCACAACCATTGTCCTCGCACGCGTACGTAGGTTGAACGTTTCAGACTCTGAAATTCAGAGTCGTGCCGGAGAGACGGTGGGAAGCTATGTCGAAGTAGATTCGCATCTCTCTGGATGTCAGCATAAGGAAGAACTCAAAGCCCGTTGTTCATTGCAGAAATCTCTTCAAAATTCCTGTTGATGAAGACGATGAAGACTCGACGGCAGTAGGAGCTGAAAGGACATCAGAGAGTCACAGCAACGGTGAGCAGGGTGAACAAGAACTACAACGCAAGCATTCGAGCGAGCTGATAACTCAAGACAATGGTACTGAAGAAAGAGCGGATGAAGACCTTCGAGGGGAACAACAGAAAGGAAGAGTTGCTAGAAGTGAAAATGAGTGTGATCATGAACGGAGATTCCTCTCGAGGATTGAAGGATCGAAATCCTCGTTCGGCCGTTCACGGAGGGGGAGGAAATGATGTAAAGCACAAGCTCGACAAGCGTCCAAAGAACGACGCTAGAAGCGTGTTGCAATGTTGGGAAGTTGTAAGTGCGCAAGATTCGCACAAAACATGTCATGTAATGTGCTGTTGTAAGTGAGCAAGATGCCATCTTGCTTTTTTTGGCTGGAATTATAAGCCTAAGTTCAAGTCACATACAATGGCTGGGTCTATTCTATTCACACCCGATTGTGGGGACACTGGTCAACTCCTTCTCCAACGTCAATTAGTAGTACAGTGGTTGGGGTGTCTGTCAGGGTTAGCTGTTGGCAGCAGCCTGTTGCTGTGAAACAGCTCCCTGTCGCTCTCGACTAGTCGTATATCAGTGGTTGAACTTGCTCCCTTACAGAACCTTCACGCGCCGGTAGCACAGTGTTGGCCTTCCGCTCACCAGAATCGCTGGTTCGATACTCGGTGGCGGCATTTCTCTTGCATTTCGCACACAGCTTCATTGAAATACTTCCCAGGTTTGCCCTCTGGAGATGAAGTTTCGAACTTCTAGTGGCCGGCCGGAGGCGCGTATCATAGACCATCAAAACACAA